GAGGAATGCAGGGGAGGTAGAAGCGCCTGGACTAAGTTGTGAACTCGGGGTTCAGCTTTTGCGCACGCGAGGTGTCTCGCACTCGGAAGGGGGAGAGATCAGGGTATGCAGGTGCTTTGCTCGCCCTCCCGCTTTCTTTCCCGCGCCCAAAAGAAGCAAGGAGGGCATGTTTATCTCAGGTCTCTGTATTTGTATAGGAGTGTGCGCGCGCAGGGATTTTCTCTGAGGGGTTTTGTCTCTGTCCCCCCATTCCCAACCGGGAGTCTGCGTGGAGAATCTGTGCCAGAGCAGGTCCCAGAGCAGCGCGCGCGCGGTGGGTGCAGTGTGAGTTCTGCTCCGCAGCCCGCCGGCTCTACGGAATACCCCTGGGCACCGTGGAGAGACGAAGGGTGCCCTTACTCTGCTTGCAAAGGGGCTGTGCTTCCTTCGAGACTTCTTTAGTGGAACGGTAGCTACACCCTCGAAATGTATTTTAAGTAATGACCGACTTATCCAAGGGTGCTGCCTACCTACGAACTAGGGCGCACCAGTGCGCCCTCCTGCGCCCAGGGTCTCCGTGGCAGGGTTTCTTCCGGGCCAAACCTCAAAGGGCAGGCTGGCGAGCGTGTGTTCCAAGCTTCCCGGAAAGTTTTTGAGAAAGGGCCGGAAGAGGATAGCTTCACCCAAACCTATTTAAGTTGTTCTTGGACTATATACTACAGTTATCCTTTGTGTCTTATTCTGTCAACTGTTGACAGTTTCACGTCTGCGCTGTGCCTTGGGGAGTTGACTGCTCACTAAGATGTGTCTGTAGAAAGCGTTGGGGACTCATTGCCCCCTCTCTTACGTCCCCACCCAGGCAGGGAGGGAGGGAGTTCTCAGCCCCTGCACTAACACAAACCCCGCCAAAGGTGCTCCAAGTCCTTAAGCTGCATATAAGTCCTTAAGCTCTGCTCAAGTGATGGGAGACAGAGAGAGGGGGGCGGGGGGAGAGAGAGACCTGTCGGTGTTACCCAGTATGTCTGTGCTTTAATAGTTGCGGTCCATAGGTGGCCTGTCTGTTAGGACTGCAATGAAGGACAGTGGGCTAAGCGCTAACTGCCTTTCTCAGATGGGATGCCAGACGCCTTTCTCAGGTGGTCTCCCTTTTTGTTTCTCTTACTCAGAGACAACTTTGACTTCAGCGTCAGGAACTTGATTTCTTAAAATGCCTAGAGCTCGCCTTCAGAGCTCCAGTTGGCCAGAGCTTGAAGTCTGGGTTGGAAAATTTCATGAGGTAGAGAGGGGGGCTCTCCTCCCACTGTGGCCCAGGGTGGCCCAGGGAGGCATTGCCTAACCCGAAGGGGTGGTCTGACTTTCCTTTTGTTTTGCCCTGGATTGGAGGAGACACTGATCAAAACTGAGGGGTTCAACATCTGAAGACTTTAAGATGCAGCTTTTTGCGGCTAGGGGTGGGGGTGGGTATGTGTGGATTGTACCCTACCCCATTGTAGCAGATTCAGCTGCTGACTATTAAGCTGTTGGTGCTGGGAACTGGGCATAGGTGAGGTGGAGCCCTTTACACACATATACAACCATTCTCTTTCCTGGGACATGGGTCCTAGGAACTCCATTGGGGGTGACATGTTCTTGGGCCTCAGGGAAGAAGAAACTTAATCCCAGGCCTGTGGGTGTTTGAACCTGTGAGGAAAGAGGAGACCCCAGAAAGGCTCTCCAACAGGACCCCTCCAACCCGGCAGTCGGTTTGGGACACACACACACACACACACACACACACACACACACACACACAGAGCGCTTCTTTACCCTGAGCCACCACAAATGGAGCACTTGGTGGCGCAGGCCTAGGGATCCTCAATCTCGGTGCCTCTGGTGCTCTTGACTCCAGAATATTCTTTTGCTTATTTGGGGATGGGTGAGGTGCATGCCCTTTAGGGAAACCTTGCCAAGTAATGTAATAATTTCTCTCTCGGTGGTCCCTCTTCCTTACACGGTGTCCCCCGCCTCTGGTAGCTCCTGGGCGGATTTCTCCTTGGCACAGTCGCCCAACTCCTGCTTCCAGGCACAGAGGTGGTGAGGCAGGTACCGGTCTCTCCACTTGGACAGCCCGGGAGAGGCCCCATCGGGCTGCACCCGGCTGGGACTTCCGGGGATAAGCTGGGGGGGGGGCGAGTCTTCATCGTTTTGAGGTGGGTAGCCCTGGGGCAAGAAACTTGGGGGAAATCGCGCGGGAGGAGGCTGGAGCCATACCAGTAGCAGGCTGGGGTAGAGAATTAGAGCCCCAGCCCCTTAAATCCCGGAAGGCAGGCCAGGCAGCCCCTCCCATCTCAAGTCAGTGTTTCCTTGAGGAACTCAGAAAACCTGGGCTCCTTGCTCTGGGTGTCAGAAGCTCTCAGTTTGCAAGAGGCAGCACCCTCGGGTCACATCCGGCACGAGCGGAGGGCCCCTTTGAAAGGGTTCGGTGTTTTTTCTCCTGCCAGGTGGATAGGTTCGGAAAGGGACCTTTTCTAAACTGCGGGTCCCGGCTACTTGGCCCACGATTTAGGGTCGTGGGTCCCTCTCCTTCCTGGCACACTCTGCTCCTATCCGGTCATCCCCTCTGCCTCCCTCAAGGTGGTAGGAGCGCCAGGGTCCGAGTCCTCACCGCGCCGGACTGGGGCAGCGTTGCGTGCCGGGAAGGCCTCCCGAATGTTTCCGAAACTCTCAGCTCCCGAATTCAGCAGTTCTTTTCCCCCAGCATCTTCGCCCTGCTGGCCCCCTTGCAGGCCAAGATGATTCGGAACAGTGCATGACATGCATAAAGGTGGGCGTTTTGTCCGCTCCTTGCCCATGGAGTCCCCGGGCACCGAGGGAAAGGACAACTGGACACCTGCGGCCTCGCATTGCCCGCTGGAGAGCAGGCCAAGCCGGGCGGGAGGAAGGTGCGACCACCCCAGTCCAGGCTGGGGGTGGTAATTAGGGAGCAGGCCCGGGGCGTCTCCCGTCCCTACCTTGTCTCCTAAGTATCTACTTCTTGAAGCTCTTGCGAACCCCAAAACTGGGGGGAAAGGGTATTTGATTTTGTGTTTGGTAGGATCTGGGCGGAGGACATTTCTGGCACGCCCCACTACCTTTCTTCCCTTCCTGGGGCTCCTGCTGGGTGCAGATCTCCTAGCACCTCGCCCCCAGCCCCACGTTATCCTCCTGCAGCCCATGTGAAGGGGTGGAACGGACTGATTTCCGGGGTCAGGAGGTCTCTCAAACTCCGGAGCAGTGATTCTCTTCTTTCCATTTCTGTCTTTTCTTGTGCCGGGGAAGAGAGGGGAAAACAGGAAAAACATACCTATCTAATTAGATAGTTTATCCGATTCCAATACAGAAATTCAAACAACAGCCCCGGACACCGCAAACCTCCTTCCTCAAGTCACAGAAATACTGTCAGGCGCCAGCCAACTTTTAAAGGTCAGACTGGCTGTCCCCGCCGGCAGATTTGGACCTCGCAGGTTATGGATTCGGATTCTCTCACCGCGAGGAGGGACCCGCCCCAGCCTCGAGCCCGAGCTGCGCACCTCCCGGGAGAAATGTGAAGAAACCGGGGTGACCGCGGCAACGCCTCGCTTGGGGCAGCGGGTGGCCGGGGTCGCTCGAGGGGCGAGCGGGCTCCAGCCTCCTCTGTTCCTCCCCTTCGATCTGAGAGGGCAGTGAGAGCGGAGAGGAGCCCTCCCGGGAAGCCCTCCCAGGAAGCCGCAGTCTCAGTGAGCTCAGGGAGCTGCATTAACGACTTCACCCAGACCAGGAGCGGGCTGGTGGGGCGGGTGAGGGGCGAAAGTCTGTCCTGAGAGGTCCCCAGGGTCCCCGGAAGACGAGATGTCGGGGCTGAGACGAGGAAGCAGGACCTAACTCAAGGTATTCCCTCGCCTGGTGAAGGTCCGGGCTCGCGGAAAACCAGAGCCAGGCGGGGCCGAGCGGGAGCGGCGTCCTCGGGTCTGGGAGCGCGCGACCTGCGTGACCTCGCAACGACCAGGGCAGAGCTCCTCCGCCCAGCGGGCCGGTGCCGTCCTGGGTGGCCCGGGGGCTGACGCCGAATTTCTTCTCCAAGCGTGTGCTGAGCACCTGTGTGCAGAGAGGGGTCCCGAGCGCTCTCGCTACGCGCGCGCGCCCTGGGTTTTGGAGAGCTCGCCGGGGGGAGGCAGGTGCCGACAGGGCGCCCTTTGGGGAGAGCCGGCACGGTGTACTGCAGTCCGGAGTAGAGGTCGAGGCTGCAAAGGGCACAAGAGAGGGACGGCCCCTGTGTCCACCGCGCGCCACGTTCGGCATCCCTGCGTTTTGGCCCTTTCCCTCCATCCACTTTGCCCGTTTCTTTCCCTGGCTTATTGTCCCGGGTGGCCTCCAGCAGATTGGGATTGGCCAAGCCTGAGACGTGTGTCCTGCAGCTTTGGAGCGTTGGGAGAGACTTTTTTTCTTTTCTGCTGGGAGAGGTGCGGCAGGCGGGAGCGTGAAGAGCGAGATCAGCGAGGGGAGGCCGGGCTGAAACCTCTCTGCCTCCCCGTACCCATTCTGCACCAAGCATTTGGGAAGGCAAAATTAAATCCAAACGCCGGCTGCACGAGCCTTTCCGTGACTTTGAACCCTTGAAAGCGGCTCTCTCGTTTGGGGGAGCGGCTTCTCCTGCACAGAGTCTGGAGGTAGCCAGCGGGGTCAGTGCGATCCGCGCTCCCTGCCCGAGTTCAAGCCTCGGATCCCCGCCCTGCTACCCGCGCTTAGAGGACATTGAAGAGAGCTGGCAGGCTCCAGAGAGACGATGTCTTGACCTGGACAGCCAATGGTGTCCATTAAAGTGGACCTGGAGAGGGAGTTGGTGACATTGTGCGCCCGGGAAGGCGAAATGGGGCGCGCGGGCCGCAGGTTGCACCCACTGTCCAGAGGAAACCGGGGCTAGCCTGGGACCCAGCGCCGGCCTCACTCCGGGGTTCAGAGGTTGGCTTCCTCTAGAATAGGATTTTAAAAAATTATTATTACCCTTTTTAGTAGACGGGGCGAATTTCTTTGAAAGGGATCTGCAGGGCGAAACTAATCAGAAAGGAGAGGAATTACTAGCCAAGGGGTTCGGGATATAACCCCGAGCAGCAGGAAGTTAGAGGAAGGAGGAAGGACCAAAGCTGGGTGTACTGGCCTCTTGACACGCCGAAAACAAAGCGGGTTTAAGGCAAGAATGTGGGCTGAACGCTCTGGGGATTAGAGCAGCGCGAGTCCTCCAGGCGTCTTGGAGACCGCCTGTGCGGCTGCGAACACCAGGGTCGATGTTTTTAAAACCGGGTCCTCCTAGAGGTGAGGTGGGGGTGGAGGGAGGCGGGAAACGGGCAAAGCAATTTCTTTCCGCTGAGTAGACAAAACATGGCCCACAGGGGCGTCTTGTATTTTGACCAGTGACCTGATGACCCCCGCTGACCAGGTGTAGACAGCTTCTAGTCCTAAACATTTTTATTGTCCTAACTTCCCTTTTGCCTCGGGTTTTCGCGCCCTTTCACTCTGAGCTGCAGTCAATTAGTGATTACTTAGCACCGCATTAGCAGACAGAACCCAGAGAGACACCCGCGCTGGGAAGGCGACGGTGGAGGCTGGGGCCTGAGAGCCACACCTGCAGGCGTCCGGGGATGGACAATTAGTTAACAGGGACTAACCTTTCTTTCTGCCACATTGTTAAGAAAGCTCCTTTGAGCTTCTTGTTTCAGTCGGGAATGGTGGATATTTGGTGGACTTCTCTGACGGGGAAACTAGCCTCCACCTCCAAATGGAAGACTTGTGGATGGGGGGCGGGGAGGGGGCTGGTGGAGTTGGATGGAGGACCTGTGCCATTTCCTTCAATTCGGGAAATTCAACAGGGTTAGAGCTGAGGAACGTTGGAATGCCTAGAGACTTGGAACCAGTGTAGCTGAGGAGAGGACCGCGGGGGTACTATATATTACCCACTTTGGGAAACCCCAGGCAAAATGATAGCAGCAGTTTGCATTATTGTATAAACGGCTGGGTTGGGAGAGGCCTGGGGGTGGGATGTATTTTGTATTCCTGGAATTAGTGTGAACAATGCCACAACACAGATGTGAGGAAACGGGGTCTACTGCTTTTAGTAAAATTCCATCATGACTTAAATATCTGTCTTCCTTCTTTCCTTCTCCCCTTCCTTCCTTCCTTCCTTCTTTCCTTCCTTCCTTCCTTCCTCCCTCCCTCCCTCCCTACCTACCTCTCCCACCCTCCTGAGATCTTTGCAGGGAGAAACATGGGTTTGTGCATGAATTCACAGCAAAGCGGTTTGGAGGGGGTAGGGGGGCTGTTGAGCAGGCTGCAGGATGATGAGGTCCATCGCTCCCCCTCTTTCTAGGAGGGAAGGGCAGTTTCTGAATTCAGGACAGAAGCAGCCCTGGAGCTGGACTATTGTGTGTGGTAGGAAGAGATCAACTAAAAAAAATTTATAGGAGCCCTTATCAAAATGGAGCACAAATCAACCATTTTGAGGCACTGCTGCTGTTGGGGGTAGGTGGACAGGTTGGGTTTAATTGGCAAAATTGAAATTGATTCACCCTTGGAAAATGTACTTTGGGTTAACTGTATTAGTGGTGGACTGGAAAATCATCTTGGGAGGCAAGTCCTAACTCCTGTTTTTATTTTGGTGGGTTTCTTTTCTTAGCACTCCACACCCCCTTCTTTCTGTCAGTCTGGGTCTAGCCACAGATGTTTTACTGCGGTATCTCACCCCCAAATGCCTTTAAAGGACAATTTGCTTTAATTATAATGTTACAGGGTGAAGAGATTGGTTCCGAGAATTGCTTAATAGTGAGAAAACTTGCAGCCAAATTAATTGAAAGTTTCTTCCTATGAGGGGGAGGTTGCCAAACATATGGAATATTGTTACAGAATGCTACATGAGAAAAATACATTGTGGAGATTTAGCAATGATTAAACGTGTCAATGGAGTGGAAATAGAGGTGTCCACAGCATTTCCGTAGACTGCCATGGATTTGTTTGATGTGATTTTCTGTTTTATTTGCAATTACTGAGAATATTCAATATCCTACTGAAGATTATGAATTCTGTGTCAATATATAATCTAGAAGATAATCCTATACTTGCACATCCATATTTACATTATGTATTTGATTTACTACAATACTCCTATTAAAATGTTATCCAAATTCAGTCTTAAAATGGTAACATTAACATTGTCTCCAGGATACTTGTGAATTTGATCTTTTAGAGAAAAGGTTACTATTTCTGAGCTGTCTACACAGCAACAGAACAAAGGGGATTTTCAAAGGGACCCCAGACCACCATAAATGAAACGAACAGGACCTGTGGTGGGAAGGAGTCTGGAGACGTGGAGGGAACGGACAATGTTAGGGGTGATCACTTCTGATACAAGAAGGATTTTTCTGACTTTTTTTTTCTGGTCGTTAGTCACTTGTCAAGATGAAAATAGAAACGAGGTAAGACGTGTGTAGGTTGATATGTTTTAAAATATGTAATTGAATATAATTATAATAGAGACTATGATTTAACTTCAATGTAATGCCAGTTTTTGTTTTTGTTTTTCATTAGGCTTTTCCCAATATTTCTGTGGCTGGCTAAGATCTTTATGTTTAATGATGTTATAGCTGTCCCAAAAATACCACAATGTTCAATGCACCTTTTCTCCTTATGTTTAAAAAAATTTACATTGGAATTTTGTGCTTCAGCTGTGTTGTTTATGTTTATCATTCTTACTAGGTTACAAAAGATCTCGTAAAAGGAAATTTAAAAACATTTTGGAAAAGTATGCTATGGTCTCTTCAAGATGCATGGGTTTAGAATAAGGCACAATATTAAAAAGGAAGCTATAAATTGTTTGAGAAAAATGAATTGTCTTTAATAGGGAAATGGCAAATAAAGATCTAAGAGGGGGGAAACCAGCCATATCTAGTCACGATTTGCTGTGTAAAACTACACCCTTCATCTCAGGTTTACCCTGTGTGTAGATTGAGTAGTTGAATTCATCCTCTGCTCCTTTGGTCACAATGATCAGGTGACTTAAAAAAGCAGAGTTGTGACCAGACAACAAGATTTTGTTGTCAGTGGTGACTTTGAATTGAAAAGTTCTGTTTTTGAAACATGTATCCAGTAGTAGAACTTCCAATTAGTTTAATTTTAATGTAACTATAGCTCTGTTATAATTCTTAGACTTGGATATTCCAGAACTGAGGTGAGTTTTGGCAGGCATGGGGCCATCCTTGGTATGTCCTGTGGGATTAAGTTAATATGCCTTAGAATTAGTCATTCCCAGACTAAATCTATAAGCCCCCACTTGAGCACATTTCCTCAGTCTGCCTTTTTAAAACCATCTTCCTTCTTTCCTGCTCGGGAACTATAGGTAAGGGAACAGCAACGTCTGCCATTGACTGTTGTTTTCTCTCCCTTATAATTGGGGAAGTAATGGAGAATTCTAAGAAAAATATTTGCATATTTCAATTGTATATATGTTCCCTTAAAGTCCCATTTGGCTTCTCCTTTCAGTCTGTAGTCAGTAAAGAAACTTAACAAATAGATAAAATTATGTATTTTTGGAAACATACATCGGCCAGGTGTTATTTCAGACAGAGCTCAAAAAACTTACTCCTGGAGTCAAGTCACCAGCAAAAGGATGTGGGGTGAAAGCCAGCAGATAGAGGCGGCTTTGGTGAGCACTGTTGGACACCTCGGTGTCAGCCCCAGAATCTGTCCCAAAGAAAAAGAAGGTGCTAGCCCCAGTTTGGCCTCCAACTGTGTACCCTTACGGAAGCCCTTTTAAACATGGGGGTTGACTTTTCACAGGGTCTCTGGGAAGAGTAAATGAGCTTGCAGATTTGCAAATACTCGACAATGTTCAGCGTGTTGGCAATCTTAAAGACCAGGTTCAAGGTCCCCATTTTGCAGCTGGAGCCCCCCAAGCAGGCTGGAGTACTCCTGGACGTCTCAAGAGGACGGCCAAGCTGACAAGGAGTATTGTGGGCTCTGCGAACAGGGAGACCTAGACGCATCAGTGCCTTATCCTGAAAGAAGCAATGACGACCTTGTCCTTGGACATTAGGCTGTCAAGTCAAATTGTTTGTGTAACAAAAGAGGAATTCTATTAGTCTAAAAGGCAGTGAAAGGGCGATGCCTCCAGAACTCCAAGGTGGCACATTAGGGTCCAAATTCTACAAAATATTAAATCTGATATCACAGGATGGTTAAATGACCATTATTCTTATCAGTACAAAAAAACACCTTAGTTTTACAAATATGAAAGTATTCATCAGCATTAAGATTCCAATAGAAATATCTGAAATTCTATTTCCCCAGAAAGGTGTATTTTCTTAAATACATTTTAGAAGTCCTTGTCAAGTGTTTTGGTTCTAGTAGTCTCTTTAGCAAAAAAAAAAAAAATTTTCCTTACCTGTTGATCTTCTGTGACCAAAGAGATCGAAAACATAATTTTTCAAAGAATTAAAATCGATCAAACAAACAAACCATCTCTGAAATGTCTCGTGGTGGCCCCTAGGTCCTTGAGAGCAGTTTTCTTGGAAATGAAGAAACGTGAGTGGGGAATAAAAATGCACAATATTTATTATATATCACCAGAGGGGTGTGGGCAATTTGGTCTACCACAGATCACATCAGATCTTTTGATCTCTTCTGCTTGCCAGCTTTCTGAAACTTCACCAATGGGGGAATTTGGGGACTTAAAATGGAATTCATTTTCTGATGGGCCACTCTGAAAAATAAGCCCTTTGTGCCCCCACTGCAGTACTTCAGGTGTCCCAAGGGCTGGCCATTATGTTGTGGGTTTTATGAGCTTCCTTGATGAAGAGGTAGATTCCTACTACAGGCAAAGGGTTTTTAGCCATTTCTTATCAAATAAGAAGTAGTTACTTTTCCATCCGGCATAGATGTTTCCAAGAAAAATACTCACATGGTAATTTGAACTCGGTCTGCTCTTCCCTGAATATGTTACAGCAAAAGTGTAGTGAGGCCAGGCAGTGGGTGGTCCCAACCTCCCTGTTCTCACCATTCACAGGTGGGGAGGGGCAAAGGCCTGGCAAATTTGCCCGTTTTCTGTGGAGGAAAGAATCTGCCAGATTTCTTTATTCAGAAAGACCGAGCCCTTTGTAGTGTTGCATGATCTTCTGTTCATACTCCAGGCTTATACTGATTAGAAAGGGGTGTACATCTTCCAGATGCTTTAGAATGAAGGGGATGGAGGAGAATTTTGAGTGTTTTGCTGGGGGTGGGGGTGGGGGCTGGGGGTGGTGAGGGAGGGAAAACTAGTATCTTGGGAA